CACACACACACACATATACACCCAGTGTGAGTTTCAAGCCACTGGATCCAGGGCTCGAGCCATGGTTGGCCATGTGGGAGTCTAACCAAACGCAATCTTTATGTCATCTGCTGGCCCAAACACGCTGGGCTTTAAATCCTGACATGGCTGTTTGCTTGCTCTGTGACCTTGGGAGTGTTACAGGACTACCTCTAACTGGTAGTTTTTTTGTATGTAAAGATTCATATGACTAGAGTTCTTATAGGGCTTTAAGTATGAAATAGATCCACTTACTTTCTTTTCTTCTAGATATGTTGAAGGATATTGACAGAAATTAGAGCCCACTGGCAGCTCAGTGTACTGAAAAGCAGAACAGTGTGTGATGGAGCCCATTCAGCACAGGGGAGTGCTTTGGATATGTGACTGCGTAAGCTCTGACGTCCGTCATTTTTCCCTTGTGTCTTACAGTTTGGGAAGGTGGTAGTGTATGGGATCTTCCCCTGGACCCTGCGACGCCAGGCCCTGCTCTGGAACAGCTTCAGCAGCTGGAGAAGGCTAAAGCTGCAAAGGTACGAAGCTCATCCTTGCATGGCAGTGCTGCCTGCCAGCTGCAGGACATAAGGTTTTTAAAATTTATTTCTCTAATTAGCTATACTTTTTTCTTTGAAAATACTGCTACTCAGCTTATATACGTACATTCACATTTTATCCTAACTGTGCTCCACCCCACAAATCCTCAGAACAAATTAAAATGAAAAATGAATGAGTTATTGATTGGTTAGTTGTCAACAGTGATCATAGTCGTGTATATTAATATTCATGGTGTAAACACTTGTTCTAAATTCTGTCAGAACAATATCTATTACATTTATTATTAGATGCCTACTCTGTGGCTTGAGATTCCACATTGAATCTTTATGATGGTGTTTATTTACATCTCTCAGTACCCCAAACACATTGCTGAAAGGCTCAGCATTTACATTAGATCCTGTGTTTCATTCACATTTTCGACAGGATTTGGGGAACTTGGATTCTGAGTTTAGTACCTGTCAAAAGAGGATGTCGGGAACCAGCAGTTAGCGTAATGGCTATGTCGCTGGACTCCCACGTAGTCGACCGCGGTTCGTGTCTCGGACCCGGTGGCTTAAATCTCACGCCGGGCGCGTGTGCGTGCGTGCCCAAGATCCCGAGAGGAGAATGGAGGAGAAGGGATTGCGGCGTGACCATCCCCCCTGGGGGGTGATTTCTCGCTTTCTGTCTCTATGTCTCTCTCTGTCTGTCTGGCGAGCGCACGCGCCCTATAGCGAAAAAAAAAAACTCTCAAAAAAAAAAAAATAAAAAAGAGGATGTCTATGTCAATACCTAGTGTCATTGTGTCATTGTGATGATACTTGGCTAGTAATACTGCCAAGAATGTCTTGTTACTGTTTCATACTAGATACACTCTTATCTCCTGAGGGAGTTACTGCCTCTCTAGAGTGCCCAGAATGTGGAAAGGTTCATGGTTAGGTTATGTCTTTGTAAAAGAATGAGAGAACATTGTTCATAGCTTTCTTAAGTATCTTCTAGTTCCCCAACACAGAAGGTGAGAGAGAGGGTTCTTCAAGGAGTTTGTGGTCTGGTGTGTGTTGGCATCGAAAGACATAGACGAGTAGCACTTGAAGTTACAGGGTGATCTGTAGCATGTGGGCCAGGCTTTGGAAGATTGACATTGTATATCCCCATTGTATATCAATATGTACTGAATGTCTGTTCTCTGTGGTGTAATGGAAAGATCTGAAGAAATGATAGTAGAGAGGGTAAGTATAGATTCCAGAGACTGTGAGGAAAAGGAGTGGGTGGTAGAGTGGGTGTGACGGATAAGGGGAAGAAACATTCAACAGAGTAAAGAATGTAAAGTTTTGTTGAAAAAAAAAAGTTCTATAATTTTTGCTTTATAAAAATTAAAGTAAAAAATGTAAAAAGCTACTAAATACTGTCTCTAGTTCTTTTCGAGACATAGAAAAGTGAAAAAGAATCAGTAGACTATAAATATAGACTATTCAGTTTTTTTTTTTTAAAAGTATATGGGCCAGCATCTCAATTAGAGAAGTGGAGATTAGGAACTGGGTTATACTTTAGATAAATAATAAAACCTGAACTAATTTTTGCTTGAAGAATAATAGGATTTAATCCATTTGAAGAGTTTTAGCATGACAGAGTAGAAAGAGAGAAAAATTAAAATGCAGTTGGGACAATGGCTATGTCGCTGAACTCCCATGTCGTTGACTGTGATTCAAGTCCTGGACCCGGTGGCTTAAACTCATGCCAGGTGCGTGTGAGTATGTGCCCAAGATCCCAAGAGGAGAATGGAAGAGAAGGGATTGTGGCGTGGCCATCCCTGCTGAGGGGAGATTTCTTGCTTTTTGTCTCTCTGTCACTCTCTGTCTTTCTGGCGAGCACATGCGCCCTATAGCAAAAACCTCTCCACGAGAAAATAAATAAATACATAAATTGCAGCCGATGGAACTAGCACCATAAAGTGCATAAGAATAGGAGACAGCTAAGCCTTTGGTCTGGCTTGCAGCCATGGTGTATCTAAAGGTCAAATATGAAAGAGGAGACTGCAGAAAATGAGGCAGGCCAGACCTGAGGATCCTGGTACATACCATGTTAGATAGAATTTATTTTCCATGTGAAGGTGCTTTGAGTCTAAGAGGGATTTTTGGGTGGGGTTAGGTAGTGAACAGGGAACTTAGGTACTTAGCTAGGGAACACGGTCACGACTGGATGCCGGGAAACCAGTTGCAAGGCTCCTGGGAAAGTGGGTGCGAAAGCCTGAGAGCCGTGGCAGTGAGAGTGGGTGCTAGGCAGTGCATTTGACTAGTATTCGGGAACTGTAAGTGATAAACTTTGTTAAGTGTGTGTCTTCAGATTTAAAAGAAGTGATAAATTTTCGTATTAGTAGTAGCTTTGCAACATTGCCGTTGAAACCTTTCAGCCTCACTGTTAGATCTTCACCTGCACCAAGAGCGTTCTGATGTGACTCTCCTATTGGCCACTTTCTGTCTCACTTCCAGGGAATGTGGTGTGATGGGAACGTGGGCTGAGGAGTTAGATACAAGTGGAAAGGAAACTCATTCAGTTTAGAGGAGCATGAAACTGTAGATGGTCCCTGACTTATGATGGCTTGACTTAATAACTTTTCTACTTTACAGTGGGGTTTATTTGGATGTAAACCCATGTAAGTCAAGGAGCATATGGACTTCCAGTGGCTTGACTTACTATTTTTTCATTTTATAATAGGTTTATTGGGGCATTTGATACAGTTTTTACTTAGGATATTTTCGACTTCCAGGTTTATCAGGGCGTAGCTCCATCACAAGGCAAGGAGCATCTGTCTTATTATTGAGACGTCGCAGAGCTTGGAGTTCTTAGAGTGTTTCGTCACCCAGTCACAGCCAGTATCTCAGTGCATGGTACTGTCTGCACCTTCCAGCTGCTCCTAGCAGCACTGGTCAGTGCTTTTGGAGTGTTCTTGTATTGGTGTCAAGTTTCTAAGCATATTCTTGTGTGATAACAGCTAGAGCAGGAGAGAAGAGAGGCAGAAATGAGGGCAAAACGGGAAGAGGAGGAGCGAAAAAGGCAAGAAGAACTCCGGAGACAGCAGGAGGAAATTCTTCGGAGACAGCAGGAAGAAGAAAGGAAAAGACGGGAAGAAGAAGAGCTTGCTCGAAGGAAACAGGTACATCTTTGGGAGTACTGACCGTAGGAGTGGCATTTGACAAGGGCCTTACCCTACTCAGCCCTGTCCTTTCATAGGGGCTGGTTCTCCACCACAAGGTTAGGATTGGGATTAGAACCTTTGAAAACTCACCTTTAGAAAGAATCTCTTTTCCACCCATACCCACTGGAAGAATGTTACTCATTCCTAGTAGACCATTTATATTTATTTCCTTTGCATGTTTTCTGGGGTTTTATAAGCCAGTTAGATTTCAGAAGTTCTACCTTTACTGCTAAAATCTGTGAGGCAGTGACTTTGGCAGGAGCTGTGTAGGAAAAAACAAAACTCAATTTCTCCTACTATAGGCTTACAACACAGATTGCTTTGATCCCAACGTGGGGAATTTTCTCCTCACCCGCGATCAGGCATCCGTTCTGCAGACACTGGCTGGGTGTCCTGAGTCAGTGTGGTCCTGATGCCTGCCACCTTCCTAGAGGTAGCGTCAGAGTCCACAGTTTAAGGGCTCAACTCACAGACTGTCCCTGCTTCAGATACCAGTTGAAAGCCCAGGCCTCTGGGACTGGCTACAAATTGGGGGAGTTCCCTTAGGCTCGATGAATTTGTGAGTGGCTCAGGGAAACTAATATTTACCAGCTTATGATAAAAGAGTATTTTAAAAGATACAGATACATGGATAGATACATGGGGCATGAAAGTTTTTTTTTCTATAGGGCATATGCACTCGCCAGAAAGAAACAGAGACAAAAAGCAAGAAATCACCCCCCCCCCCCCAGAGGGGATGGCCCCCCCGCAATCCCCTCTCCTCCATTCTCCTCTTGGGATCTTGGGCACGCATGCACACACGCCCGGCGTGAGTTTAAGCCACCGGGTCC